AACACATTTAACTAAGAAAACTATTGATATTAATGATTGACAACCAAAATCCCTTTAATTCAGGTATATATGTTGGGACACAATAATTTTTATTGTTCTGTAAAATATGAAAATTTTACTTCTTTCTGGAAGTTTTATAAAAGTTTATCCTAAATTTTACATGGCGTGTCTAAACAAATAAGGGAGAGGGGTTTCCTTTTCCAACATTCTATAAAGTTTTGTCCCTGAAAAAACTGGTAAAGACCTAAGAGATGCTTAAACTGGTTACAGAGAAATAATATGCACCCATAGTACTCGTCTTTTAATGTCAAAATAGATTCAGAAAGAAATGGAATGCACAGTTAATGTCGATATGTAGTCAAGGTGTGAAAAATCAATAACGTAAAAAAAAAAAAATGACGTTAAATCATGTGTTGTAGATATTGAACAAAATATGCTGGCACAATCAAAAGAGGATCTCTTCCAATAAATAAATCCGTCTGGAATACTATAATCATTGAAGGAAAGCTGTTGTTCATGACATTGTAAATTCATATAAAGAGGGCGGTTTTAAGTCCTAACTCAGCCCCAGGGAATCTCATCAATATAAGTGTATGAGTTCCAATAAATAAATCCGTCTGGAATACTATAATCATTGAAGGAAAGCTGTTGTTCATGACATTGTAAATTCATATAAAGAGGGCGGTTTTAAGTCCTAACTCAGCCCCAGGGAATCTCATCAATATAAGTGTATGAGGCAGAAGAAACGGATATTGAAAACCAAAGAAGTTATTGGACGTCATGAAACTGAACAGCGACGGTGCCAGGTGATGATATTATGTTGCTTTTATTTAATAATAATTTGGCAAATAATGAACGTATCAAGCTAAAATTTTTAACATTGCTTTATTTTTTGTTGTACATAAGTTTGAAAGCTAAGGATTAAACCTAAAATGTGGATTAAAATCTTCATATTTTTGTTTAAAATGTGGATAAAAATCATGAAAATAGAGAACTTATAATCAGTACTAGTTCTCGTATAACCATGATAACGCACAATCAGATTTACATTATTTTCTCTAAAAATATTATTCCTTTAATCATGTTAATGTCGGAAACCGTAAAAAAAAATTAATGAAATTACTGAATTAATTTCTTTAAAGAATAAAATTTAAAAACATCGAATACTATTTTAACATTATTCAAAACGTAAATTATGAGGTTAATTCAATTATGTGATGAAGATTTGATCTGTTAAATTATCATTAAATTTGATTCAGTGATTTAAGAGGTGTTGCGAATAAAGGCAGGTATACACGATGAGATTTGTAGTATAATACAAGTATTATAATACTTTTGTATTATAATACTTTCTTGTACACACGCTAATACATATCTTATAAGATTGTAAATAAACTATTATTACCACGTGTTTTCTCCTGCCATATTTTTCTCTGTCAAAATAATAAAAATGATAATAATAAGCTCTGCTTCTAGCATCTTTTTTGTGGTAGCTACAACTTGATATATTCCACAAGTTTTTCGATATCTGTACTCGGAAAGACGGCCATTATTTTTTACCATGTGCTTTATTTAGTTATGATATAAATAGGATGACCCCCAATGTGAGTACATTTGATTGGTTGAAAGTGAAAGGTGAGTTAAGACTTGAATTAGGAAATAGAACATTGCTCTATTCTTAATACAGTTTTATAAGATTCGAAAAATCTTATGATACACTGTATAAAGAGTGTATACACAGTAAGATTTTGTATTATACCGGTAATACAAATCTTATAATACAAATCTTACCATGTATACCGGCTTTAAGATGGGTACCCTTCAATATTTTTAAAAGAATGGTATTGTCCATGCATCTTTTGTTATAGGAAACCCAAAGAATGTGTTAGATCAAAAAGTAAAATAGTTCATGTTGGCACAATGTAGACACATGTACAAAAAATGTCTTATTAATGTCAGACGACACCTTCCTCAAAAATACGAGGGTTGATCCAAAAGTAATGTCACAACTTCGATAAAATTGCTCCTAGTCGACGTACGTTAACAAAATTATACATGATAGAAGCTGTATTTATTTCAAATCAGTCCTGAAAAATTGAAATTGAAATGATTTATACTTTTCAAAATATCGAATTATATACAACGTGCAATTATGGTAGTCGCCGCACCTCAATAACGTCATATGACGGATATGCGCTGTCACACACTTTTAAAAACGCTTCCCCATCGTTTCATTAAAAAAACTGATATTCACAAAAACATTCACATATTTTACTTTACTTAAGAATTTTTGGCACCAAGTGTACACTCTATCTGTAATTTAGTCCTTTATCAAAATTCTTTAAACAGTGCCATGAGACAAATTTAAACGTTTCTCATATCTCTCAAACCGCGTGACACGAATCTCCTTTTTTTCAACGTCGAGGCCATTGAACGTTTCCACCCGACCTCAAATCTTTCGGTCTTTCTGTCCTCAGCTGATAATTTAATTACCCATGACCCGCCCAAAATCTCTGAAACCATCTATGAACAAGTCTCTGTTTATCATTCTTCCTCTTCGAGTCTGATTTACCATCGTAACTGTCTCTACTGCGATTTCCCGATTTTGAAGGAAAAACGCATTACAACTCAGTTCGGCTTTTTTTAATTTCTGCAATACACCTGATATAAACAACAATATCTATGATTTTAAAAAAATGCCGCCATTTAATCTTTAACTAAAGACTAGATATTGTGTTTTTTTTTTAATATTGGGCGATTAGACGCTTTTTAAATGTCTTTTAAATGTGTTTGACTTTTTTTATTCTAACAATATACACTTTAAAACATGACGTTCCGTTGTGACGCGGCGGCACCCCCTATGTTTAGTGTTTTAAACGTCTATAAAATAAATTTAATTAAACATTGTTAAATGAAATTTCACATTTTGATCAGATTTATATTTCTGCATCTTTTGGTGCATTATATTTGATAATATGACGCCAAATATAAAAGATATGGACACAGTGACATTACTTTTGGATCAACCCTCGTATATACTTTATCAATGAAGAGTATGTATGTATGAAGTTTCCTCACTCAAAATTAGGATACCTTACCAGGCAGTTTGACAAGATACCACAAGGTTAAATTTCTCGTGTACCCCAGTTTGGGATTGTGTAAGATATGAATTGGCATCGTCATGATTTTCCGGATAATAATGACGTTGTGAAAATCAGTTTTAATACATGGTTAGAGATTGAAAATTTAATCTTTCAACCATTCAATTTTTAGTGGAATATGCTACAGCTGCCAATGACAGAAGGATAATTTTTTTCCCGTATATCTTACATCGCGCTTTGCAGCATAGCCTATTCTACGGAAGCCCAATAGTGCAAACCAAAAATATATAAAGAAAAACGAAATTAATATATAAAGAGAAACAAAATTATTAGATAAAGGAAAACGAAATTAATATATAAAGAGAAACGAAATTAATATATAAAGAGAAACGAAATTATTAAATAAAGAAAAACGAAATTAATATATAAAGAGAAACGAAATTATCAAATAAAAAAAAACGAAATTAATATATAAAGAGAAACGAAATTATTAAATAAAGAAAAACGAAATTATTAAAAAAAGAAAAGAAAAACGGAATTATAAAAAAAGAAAAAAAGAAATTATTTAATAAAAAGGAGAGTGAGGGAGAAAGAGAAAATATCAACTGAAACAAATACTTCAATCTAATGTTTGAAGTAAATTGTCAATAATTGTTTAACGGTATACTTAATTTGTTGATGTGTGGCATTATGCATAGAGGATCAAGAGGGTGACTGTTTCTGCTTGATTAAAATTAATGACATCCAATTCAAAGAGCGCTTGAAACGCTGAAAGGTCAAGACCTTGCGTATCGTATTATAAAATTCCCTCCGGGATAAGCCTAGCGCCCCATCTGTATATTCATTAATCACGGGTTGTTGAAACAATAACGAGGATGATTTGATTACTTCGTGGATATTTTTACTTCACCATTCCCCTCATTTCATAAAGACGTCGCTAAAATGGCATTTTGTTCTTCTTGTTGATCACCTAATCAGAATGATAAAAATGATTTGATTACTTTGTGGGATTTGTTATGTACAAGAGTGTGCATTGTTTGTTTATAAATATCACCGACTTATAAATATACAAATTGCGAGTTTGTCAATTCAAATATATGAGAACAAGAATTATAGTACCACTGACTTGTAAATAGTACAGACTGAGGGTTGGACATTTATAATATGTGAGAACAAGTACTAGTAGCCAGTACATCACCTCTAATTATGCGTTTGATGAGTAGTAATTTTAGGCTCCAAAGTAATGAAGTGATTTATTATTAAATGTCCAGAGTTACAGGCAATTGGATGCATTGCCCAGACTAGTCAAGCTGTGTTGGGGTAATTAAAAGTAGAGCAGTGTCTAGTGTGGTCAAGAGTAATGAGTCTTTAATGAGTGGAGCAATGGGAGCTATTGTTCGTAGAATCGGGAGCCGTGTATTGAGTTAAGGTCAAGCTAGGTTATGACAGTTTTATAAGGATTTGATAAAGATATATGTAGAGTTGGAGTTAGTTAATTAATAGAATGGAGCTAATGTTTTAGATAATGATCTATTGGAGCTAAGATTAGTATATAATAAGTGTGACATTTTTAGAAGGGGGGAGTGCTTTGCTAGGATTTAGACAGTACATATGCTAGCATAAATGTAACATCTTTCGTTTGTATGATGCCTCCTCATTGTATATATGTACATAAATTAGTGCACTTTTTACTGACTTTTTATTGGATTTAGCATTACAAGGATTTATCAACCAAGGATATCTTAATTATAATTGGATATATACTCAGTGGAATTAAAAAGTTATAATTGCTCGGTCACCTCCGTGACACGTTGATAAGATCAAGTTCAAGTTCAAGTTCAGTTTATTCTCCCAAACCAAAATATTGGTACATGGGGTACAGTAAAACATATATACATTTTAAACAAACTGGTCAGAGGTACCCTTCAGTTTTTTTGCTGCATTCATTCTGATGTATTCTCTGTCTTTGAAGTAGGAGAATTTCGCTACTATCTTCCGCGGGTATTCGCTAAATTCATCATATCTACCCATCCTGTGTACTCGTTCAAAGTCGATAAGGTAGTCCAATCTGTACTTTCGTTGTAGAAAATCCTGAAGCACCTGCTCAGTGTCCTCCCATGCTCGCTCTGGTATCCCTGAAAACACCAAGTTATCGCGCATAGAACGCGCCTTCAGATCCACCACAGAGTCTTGAAGATTACTGTTTTTTTCTCTTAAAGCCTGTAGTTCTAAGTTTACTAATTTCTGGTCAGTTTTACACTGTTCAATATTGTTCTTGTTACAGATGATCATATTTCTGTTTGATTTGGTTTCTTCATTTACAGAGTCAAACAGGTTTCCTAGAGATTTCATATTTGATTCAAGCTTTTCAAAATCTTTCTTTGTACACATGATATCTTCCTCTAATTTATTGAGGTGACCTTTCATAGAGTTTAGAGTGCCCCGTATTTCGTCTAACGAGTTGATTTTACTTTCAATTGTTGATAGTCTTGAATCAAGAGCATTGTTCTTAAGCTCCATGTTTGAAAGTTTTGTGTTTATCTGAGTTAAAAGAGTGTGTAACGATGAAAGAGTTACATTGCCTTCTCCAGTATCATGTGTATCATGAGTATCGTGAGTATGTCTGTGTTCTTCTTCATATACAATGGCTCGAGTTTCCTCTAAGAGTTTGGTAGTTTCAGACATTTCAGACATTTTTCCGGGGGAACACAATCAATACACAGAAGAACATTAACACAAAAAACACACGTTACTTATCTCCACATGCATTCTATAGCTCGACTGTAAACTGTAAGCTACAATCATACAAGGCATCAACTGATTTGCTTTATTTCTAATTTAGTGAACAATTATTAAAATCTACTTCTTGTAACCACTTTGACTCGTTTTACTTTTTGCACCTGTTCTCTTTAAACAATTTTTTTAATATGTCAAACAAACCCAAGTCCGATCGATAACGTATTATTTTACACCTTTTTTAAATGAATGCATTGTGCGATAGTTGGATAATGGATAAGGGAATTTCCTGAATGTTAAAAATTCAACAATACGAGTTGTAAACAACGGTATCTTAACGTTCATGTTTTCTTAAATAGTTGTGCAATTAGATATCAAAGGTTAAATTCGTCCAATCCATGTATTGTAATGGATACGTTTTCGATTAAGGAAAAGGTGAATATAAAGGCAAACATCACACTTGTTTATTGTCGAAACAAAATCAGGTCTATCAGACGCGGTGCACTAATGATTTATGGGTTCAGACCCTTACTGTGCACCTCTATAAATTCCGTATAATTGTTTCAGTTTTTCTACTTTTAATAATTTCGTTTCTCTTTATATATTAATTTAGTTTTTCTTTATTTAATAATTTCGTTTCTCTTTATATATTAATTTCGTTTTTCTTTATTTAATAATTTCGTTTCTCTTTATATATTATTTTCGTTTTTCTTTATTTAATAATTTCGTTTCTCTTTATATATTAATTTCGTTTCTCTTTATATATTAATTTCGTTTTTTCTTTTTTAAATAATTTCGTTTCTCTTTATATATTAATTTCGTTTTTCTTTATTTAATAATTTCGTTTCTCTTTATATATTAATTTCGTTTTCCTTTATTTAATAATTTCGTTTCTCTTTATATATTAATTTCGTTTTTCTTTATATATTTTTGGTTTGCACTATTGGGCTTCCGTACTATTCTGCAGAAACCTTTATCACGTGACAAAGTTCTAATTCTTATCATTTACCATTGACTTTAGTACATCCTTGAATCCATTTTGCAAATGCACTAAAAATTCTAATTATATAATTTTAAAAAAAATATATTCATTCATAATGCTTTGAAGACATCCTGAAATAAAAATGATCACTCATCTCAACGTTGAATATATCTTGTGCTTTCCTAACCTTGTATGGATGCTTTTAAAATTGTAAAGGATTTTTTTTTTGAAATACTAAATTTTGTTTGCAGCCGATTTGATGCTTTGCATCAATTTTACTTGTTCTTAATGTTTATGATTCACCGGGTGTGTTCAATTGTTACAGTCTGCTCACCACAACTGCACGGATTGACAATATACTGCGCATATGTTTTGCTTTAGAAATTTCTACTTTGAATTTTCTGGATCATAGTTTTAATATTCTTTATTGATACACAAGACGGTCACTTTTCCGAAGTATTGAAAATAAAATTAAAGGATCATTCTCTATAAGGCTGTTTTGCGGCCCACAATGAGTTCAAATTTTCATATAGTACTGTGGTTTCATTAATATTCGTTGAGCACCAATTTTCGAGGATTTCGTTGTTGAGCAGATCCACGAATTTAAATGTTCATTGGATAAAGAAATTTGTTATTCATTTGTTTAGGCAATACTTTTGTCCACCAAAATTACGTATCCTCGAATACATCTGTTTTTATAAAATCCACGAAAATTGATGCTAATGAAAATTAATGAAACCACAGTATTCCCTTAAAAATCACATGAATCAGTAGAACTATGTTCCAATAAGATAATCAATATGGGTTGGTTAATGATACAATAGTATTTGTTACGATATAGGGACACAAAGTAAGGTACTATCGCCTCTCGGTCCGAACTGGCATTAGAGTAATGGGAAAACTTAAGCGGAGAGGGGCTGTGTTAGATAGCTTCTACACATGTTATAGCCACCTTTAATCAACAGCAAAATTTGAGTTTAAACTTCTTATATACATAAAAAGTGACTTCCAAATTATGAACTTAGTTAAAGGTGGGTATGACATATAAATATAGGTGGCCTATAAAAGTTTTCGATTCATTTTTACGGTATTTGCAGGAAAAGCTATAACTACTCACAATGAAGGATATATAAGCTTTCGTAGATTATTTCTATAAATGAATTTTTGGTCAGAGTACAATTTTCTGTTCATTTACTAGAATTTATATAAGACAAAGTATGTTTACTCAAAAAATGTCAACTTTTTACTTAAAACATCTCAAATCAAAGGACTGAGAGGATTGGATGTCTTGAAATTACAAGTGTAGACGTTTCGTTAAAATGTCTGATAAAAATTAGGAACAGAAAAACTTTTTTTTAATAGAGTATAAGACGTAAATATGAGTTATTTATTATAATTATGAATATTTATATTGATAGTTCAGTTTATCTATGCATGTTACTTCTTTGTACATTTATTCCCTTATGAGTACTGCATCTATTCTTTGTATTTCCTTATGAGTACTATATATGTTCATGAAATGATAAACCAGAAGTCTCTGTCGAGACTGAAGCTCTACTGGTTTGAACTTATAGCAAAGGAAGAGTAAAGTACTTAAGCAGCTGGGATTTGAAACTTTACAACAGCAATAAGTAGAATAATGATCATTGACAAAGTCTCTTTATGTTCTTAGTGTAGTCTACTTGTGTGCCAAGTTATATTGAAATCAGACCAAAACTGTAGAAGGAGTAGCATTTTGAAACAATTTTACAGACATTTCTATATTTAATAACCACGGCAACACCGTTCATCAAAATTAAAATTCGATACACAGAATTATGTATCTTAGTGTATTCTACTTGTGTGCCAAGTTATATTGAAATCAGACCAAAACTGTAGGAGGAGTAGCATTTTAAAAGAATTTCACAGAAATTTCTATTTTTAGTAACCACGGCAACACTGTTCATCGAAATCAAAAACCGATACATAGAATTATGTATCTTAGTGTAGTCTACTTGTGTGCCAAGTTATATTGAAATCAGACCAAAACTGTAGGAGGAGTAGCATTTTGAAAAATTGTTTACAGACAGACGGACAGACGGACAGACAGACAGACAGACGGACAGACGGACGGACGCCGGACGCATTACTATCGCATAAGCTCTTCTGGTCTCTGACCAGTAGAGCTAAAAACATCTTTCTTGTGGCGGGAAAATGCATTTCCTATTTGTGTTATAGACTGATTTTCTATGGGTACACACACATCTTTTATAGGGACACTTCCTTACGAGTGACATAGGATCCATATATTTTGTTAACTGGGTCTTAATTGAGAGAACTCACAGTTCTTTGATAGCATCGATATAAGTTTCGAGAACAGCAGTCATGTCTTAGAAAATAAACTGGTAAGAAGGGGAGAGTTTCTTGAATGGCATGTGTGATTGATAATTGAATGTTGCTTACTCCATTTTAGGATTAATACCAAAACGACCCGTGACATTTACTTGTATAATGCTAAAGACGTGGGATAGGAACTGTCACTACTGGTGTTAAAAACCGTAGTTTTTGAGGTTGCACTGAGAAACAGACTAAATTTATATACAGGTTTCAAGTGTGCAAAAGAAGCAGCAAACCCTTAATTAGGTCCATTTTGTATATAGGATGGTGTAGAACTCTGTTACAATGTAGTCCATAGATATATTAAAACTTCTGATATGCTAAAGGAAGGAACTGTTAAATATCTACTCTTTTTTGCAGTGCCGTTAGAAGCGGTGGGAGTCACAACTTTTATACATGTGTATACATGTACATATAGTTAAGATAGCATTTTTAATTAAATTCATCGTGCAACATGAGTAATTAAACGAAAGCAAAACCATTTTGACGACGTTATATCAATTTACGTAGAGGTGTGTATATTTGAATGCAACCGCTGAGTTTGATGTATTCACTACAATATTTACATGTACATGGATAGTCAACATGTACTTGCATTGATATTTTTATGCTGTTAATTAATACTCTATTTATTTATTTATTGCAATTGTTAAATTCATTTTATTAATTACTTCTCCAGTTTTATTTAATCACAATCAAAATCCATTTAGTGCTTTCAACATTTGTTATATAACTTTTATAGTTCAAAAGTTATAGTTCACTCAGAAACTTAGAAACCTCATTTCTTACATGGGCATTTTATACGTAAAATAGGTACCACATCTATAGAAATGATTACAATTTCAATATAATTATAAATGATATAATACATATAATTGAATGCTAATCAAACTTTTTTCAGCAGCATACGGTGTGCATTTTTTAAAGAATTACATTCAAAATATGCAAAATGTGAATGATTCACAATTCTTGTCATAAAAAATATCTTGAGCCTTAAATTAAAAAAAAAACTAGAAAACTGACCAGTCAGCAAGGGCCCCGCCATGGGGTAGAAATATAAGGGTGCAGCGTATGGAATGATTTAAGAAATATATGACGAATAAGAAACAGCAACTGTATTCTTAAAATTTCAAGATAATTCCCGAATATCCAAAAACCTGTAAATAATATCCTTGTATTTATTTTACATAAGGCAGTAAAGAACAACTCGACACTGAATGTATATCTAAATAACAGTGATCAGAAGCTTTTGTTATATAAAATGCCAGCCTTCAATGAATGCAAATACATATCATGCAGGCTTGACCTTAACTTCAAAACAAACAGCAGTTGCAGACAAAGGTTTTCATTAATCTTAAAGTGACAGATAAAGATAAGCCTTCTAAATTTTCTGCAGCAGGCTAGATAATTAATCCCAAGGGATTAATTGTACTTCTCTCTCATCATTTTCTTCTTAATTTATAATAAGAACTTTTTCAGTATTGATAGAATGAGGTTTTTATCCAACTGCCTTAAAAATTATTAATATTCTTGAATTTTCATGAAGAAAAACAAAATAAATAAATAAACAAATAAAAAATATATCTTCTTTAATCTATTT